ATCCTATTTGAGTATGCTTCTGTTTTGTATTCTTGCCTCTGGTCTAGAGGCTAGACTATTGCAGTAAGTAAGTTCAGTGCTGTCATTCTTCCCGGAGTGTCTGTATCCAGATTTTCAGAGCCCACTTTGTCAGCAGGGCAAATTTATAGGTCAGTATAGGATATATTTTAAATAGTAGAAAAGAGATTGTGTTCTATTTCTACCGTCTTTCTAATCTGGCAGTCTTGAGTTTAGTTTAGAAGATGCTTCTATATGTAATTTCCTTTTGTTTTTAATGTATTTTAGTATTAGGAAACCTGGATGATTTTCCTCTTGACTTGCCAGCTAATAAGCTTTTGAAAGCTTCTGTCACCTTCTAATTGCAGATACATTCATTTTTCTTTGTGCTTAACAAGGGCATTGACATTCTATTTGCAAGCTCTTTTCTTGCATCAAATGGAAGATGACTAATGGAGCATTTGTGTGTTGAGGTCAATAGAGGAAAGCTTAGCAGGGTGCTTACTCCTTGTTTTCTATTAAAGTCTATACAGCTTCCCCGAGAACAAATGAATTGGAAATAGAGGGGACACGATCATTGTAATTAGAGATTGACCTAGAATGTTTAAAACCTCTATACACATATCCTACCTGTCCTCCCCACCCCACCCTCCATAAAAGCTGAACTTTTATCCTGCCTCATTGTCCACCTTGATCTTCCACCAAATGATGGAGAAAAACTTACTTACTTCGTAAAACAAGGAGACAGAAATTGTTTTATTAGTGCAAAGTATAACATGGCACAAAATTATGTTCTACATGAATTTAAAAGACTTTATAAAATTATTTCTTGTACTGCTTATGTAGCTTTAAAATGTGTATGTGTGTGTGTCCACATATGACCCTGTGATACATTAGAAGAAGAAACAAAAAGAAAGTCCAGGTTGGAGTTTGGTAGGTTTACCCAGGTACTGTCCAGGCAGGGAGACTTCCATTTGGGGACATACACATTCCCGCCAGCAGGGAGGTGAGCTCTCCTGCCATGGAGTAAGGACGTTTCACGTGGCTTTCTAATGGATCAGATCTCTCTCTCTCTCTCTCTCTCTCTCTCTCTC